ATGAAAGGGTCGCAGCATTAAGAAGGTTGAGAACCGCTGTTCTAGACGCAGTGGGTATCTTTTTAGATGACGAAACTGACGGAAGACCTGGATAACACAGCATCTCAAAGATTTCTACCAGCCACCCAACCGCGGTTGTCTAAAACACCTCCTGCAGCACCCGGACAATAGCCACCCCCGGCCACGCCACTGGCAGAACCTGCAGCTCCTCCTGGGCAGGCTATGTGACCAGGCGGCCACTGGGACCTTCAGCGCCGAGGACGACTGGGCATGACTGCATGTGAGACGGTGCAGGGGCACAGGGCAGGTCACCCAGAGAGGACCCCAGGGCTGGGCAGGGCCAGAGCTCAGAGTCCCCTCAGAGGCCTTTCCTGGTGGGGGGCTGTCTGGGAGCACTTCCTGGGGCCAGGGCATGGGGAATGGGCTTTATGGGGGTGTGTTTTTTTCTGTCCTTGGAAAAGCACCAGGAAAGGCAGTCAGGTTGGCGAACTTGTATCCTCCTGCTGCTCCAGAGCCCAGGCGGGCTTTGCCCCACTTGGGGACAATCCTTCTGTCCCAGTGACACAGGAGAAGCTGGAGTCACGCCCAGTCCCAGGAGGCTGAGGCACCCCCTGTAGGAGTGGCCTTCACTCTGGGTGGAAAAGCGATCCCATCTTGAGCAGCCATGGCCACTTTAGAAGGATCCTTCCTGCCAGGGGCAGGGCTCACGGTTCACTGGAGCCAGTTCCTCTGAGTGGGGGGGAGGAGGGGGGAGGAAGAGCCATCCGTCCCAGAGGAGGAGTTACACGCTCCCCTCTCCTCTCCTCCCCTCCCCTTCCCAGCCTCAGCCACCCTTCTCCCATGGCCATGAAGAGAGACGTTCTTCCTGGACCAGGACCATGGCACCCCCCGCCCCCAGGACAGGAGTCTTACTCCCCACCCCGGAACAGGAGCTGTTGCACCTGAGCCTAGGCCAGGCATCCAGTCAAGAACCGGCCTGGAGAAATCAGAAGCCCATCCCCTGGTCCAGAGCTGCTGAAAGACCCTCTTGGGCCAGCTGCTGACTTGGCCAATGCCCACCCTGGTAATGTGAGCAGGGGGCTCTGCAGGCTCCAAGTCTCTCTCAGCTCTGCCTTGGGCAGCGTGTGCAGAGCCACTTGCCTGCCCCTCCCAGCTCCCCTCGTCCTAGGCAGCTAGGGCCACTGCCCCAGGGTTTGTGTTGCCCTCAGGGAGTGAGCCTTGTGTGGTGTGCTGGTATTCCGACCTCACGTTTCCTCCCTAGTTTACCGGGGAGACTTGGGTTTCTCCAGGCGTGTGCTGAAGGTGTCTCACGCAGCGGTGGTCTGCA